CAGGTAAGCCAGTGCTTATAACTGTCTCTTTTTCTTTTTCTTTTTGGTGAAAGTTTGCATAGCAAATTAATTTTCCATTCAACAATTCATACACATTTTGTGACATTCATTGTAATCTCCACAATATAACAGCACTCTTCCCCTTCCTTCCCGTGTTTACCATTTCCATCCATCCTTCTTTCCTATCCCTTCTGAGCTTTATTGCTGGGCAAATGTTGCCCTTCTGATTGCATATATTTGGTTGTTCCAAAGAGTACATACATCCCTGGTGTTATTATTCACTTTAGGCCTCTTTGTTGTTAGTTGAAAATGGAGCCATAGGAGTGAGTATGGTTCTAGTCCTGAAGGGTAACTAAGGGCCATAATCTCGGGGGTTCCACCACTCTGTATCCAACCAGTAAGTCTTTCAGTTTTGTCTCATTTTTCTCCCACTCTATCCAGGACCTCCTATTGTGATCCCTTTCAAAGTAGTCAGCAGTGGTAGTTGGGTACCTAGTTCCTCTAATCTCTAATCTTCTAATCTCTAATCTTCTAATCTCTAGGTCATGGAGGTCCATGTGATCCATTAGTCCTTTGGACTAATTGTTTCCATGTGTCATTGCTTTTCTTCACCATTCTTTGCCCAGACACAGACCAATAGTTGCACCTAAATATCTGTCTGTTTTTATAGATACCTGTCTTTCCTTAGATTTCAGGTTAGTTGGAGGCACTGTGACTTCAACTAACAGGTTAAAGTTGTGAATTTGCAGCTTGCCTGGTTTTTTGTAATTTTTGCTATAATGGGAGCAATGCTCTTACAGTGTCCTTTACCCCAAGCAGAAACCAGAAATTGCCACTCCTTTTTTAAAAATTAAGTACTCAAAATATACTCAGGCTAACTTGAGATGGTACCTATATGCTTCCTGTCATAGTGCCTAAGACAACTGACTGTTAACCAGAAGGCTAGCGGTTCAGACCCACCAGCCACTCCTCAGAAGGAAGACTGGGCAATCTACTTCCGTAGTGAAGGAAACCCAAGAAAGGGTCGCTATAAGTCAGATCCAACTCGATGGCAGTGAGTTGGGTGGTTTATTTTTTGTGTTTTTTTTTTCTTTTTTCCCACAACAACAACAAAAATCCCAGGCTTATTTTGAAAAGCATTTGCTGTTATTGACATGTATCACCAGAGGCAAGCAGCTATGCTGTTAAACCAGACAAGGCCAAGTTTCCAACAGGGAATAGTAAACACATAAAGATAGAAGCAAAGGCATCCAAAGCAGCTGATGATCAGAAGGGCCAATTTCTGAGTCCTCCCTACTATACAAGCCCTGTGGCGCCAGCCTCACCAATGGGCCATAGTATGTTTGTTGTTGTTGTTGTCAGCCTCAGTCAAGTTGGTGTCCAACTCACAATGACCCACAACAGAACATAACACTGCCCAATCCTGCACCATCCCCATGATGGTTGCAGACCAAATGCTGGGATCCATAGAGTTTTCATTGGCTGATTTTCAGAAGTAGATCACCAGGCCTTTCTTCTAGTCCATCTTAAGTCTAGAAGCTCTGCTGAAATCTTTTCAACATCAGAGCAACACACAACCTCCACTGACAAGACTGGTGGTACCTGTGTGTGAGGTGCATTGGCCAGGAATCAAACCTGGGTCTCCTGTGTGGAAGGCAAGAATGCTAACACTGAACCACCATTACCCTATTCTGTAAGAAGAGGCCTTCCTTTTAGCACTTGAGTGTCTTCAGGTATGACCAGGCATGCTTCTACAGCCTCTCCCAGTACCTGGCCTTCACTAAGATCCAGGCTAAGAGGCTAACACCAGCTTTGGACCTTTCCAGATGGGGCATCAGCACCTTCAGGTGTACTCAACTTCCACTCAGCAGTGGGCAGCTCAAGCCACTGGTTCAAGCCCAGCTACTGAGGGTAGATAACTCCCAGATTCTCCTCATGATTGGAAGTTAAGTTAGTGGGTTATTCTGAAACAAATAAACCAAAATCATAGTGGCTTAACATAACAGAAGTCAGTTTCACACTCAAATGAAGTTTGAAACAAGCATTCCCGATTGCCAAGTGGCTCTTCTCCAGGTGGGAATTCAGGGACCCACTCCAGCCATCATGTAGCTCCACCATCTTCTACAGGTTCCTCAGATGGAGAAAGGGAATGGGTGGATAAATCCTGCCCACTTCTCAGTCATATCACCAGTATCTCCATATAATTTGTGCTCATATTCCATGGCTGCAACTGAGTACTTGTTCCCTCCTCAATGCTTCCTAATAGCAACTCCATGCCAGGAAGGAAGCCTGGATCTTTGGTGAGTACACAGCCATACATTAATCACCCAAACAGAACTCAACCCACAGGGACAGCTTGTAACAAATCATTGCTATATGACAGTATTTTCCAAATGTGCTTGATGTTAAGAACCACCAACCAACCAACCTGTTGCTGTTGAGTCAATTCCAACTCTTAACGACCCTTTGTTACAGAGTAGAGCTGCTCTATAGCATTTTTTAAGCTATAATCTTTCACTGCTGTTGAGTCAAATCCAATTCATAGCAACCCCTTTCCAAGGCAGTATCTCTACAGAAGTAGATTGCTCATTCTTCCCTCCAAGGAGTGACTGGTGGGTTTGCCAACCATCTGGTTAGCAGTCAAATGCCTTACACACTAAGCTACCAGAGTTCCCACAATCTTTACAGAAGAAGTTCTCCAGGCCTTTCTTCTGCAGCACCACTGGGTGTTCAAACCATTAACCATTCCATTAGTAATTGAGTGCAAACCATTTGCAGTACACAGGGACCTTAAGAACCACAGAGGATGTTTATCGAAGATGTCATTGGTTTGGGCCATCTGAGTGAGAGCCTGGAATCTGTGCTGTCACCCTGCACTCCAGGTAGTGGTGCTCCTCTGCCTGGAAATTCTGGGAAACAGTATCAATGGAATGAAGCCTCTGCCTTCTCCTGTCCCCCACCCCAGCCCCAGTCTGTGTGGTGACTTGTGGGACTCTGGGACAGATCCTCCAGTCCTCCCTGAGTGTCCACCCTGCAGCTCAGCTCTGGGCAGGGCAGTTATGTGGCTTGGCCACTTCCAGGCAGAATTGAAGATGAGCAGAGCCACTCTCTGACCTCCCAAACCAGAGCACTTCACTGACCAGTCCCCAGATTAAATGAAACACAGAAACTGATCTTTGGTCAGTAAGTCTGTTTCCCTTATATGTGTAGGGTAGAGAGAAGAGGAGGGGGATTTTCTGGGAGCTTCTCTTTAACAACACTTGAGGGCAGCATTGAGCCAATTTCTCAGGTGAAAATTAAGTATTAAAGGTTATTTCCTATCAGATTATGTTCATTTTGTTCTTGCCATGGCACCCTTGCGGGCTTCAGGCAATGGCTGTGAGAAGCATTCCTGGCCAAGGAAAAGCTCCCCTCCTCACTTGGAAAAAGGGCTTCCATACCTGGGGGTGTGGGGTATACTGTGGAGAGTAAGGAGGAGGCATCACCTAAGTAGGAGCAAGGCCCTGTGCACCAGAGTAGAGCCTAGGGGCTCCCTGGCCTGGAGGTCAGGCTCTCAGTGCCCAAGGAAATTAGCCTTGTGGGAAGCAGCATGGGCTTCCATCCAAGGGCAAGGACAGGCAACATCAGGCATAGCAGTGTGGCCCAGGGAGGTACAGAGGCCAGACACTGAGTGTTCTGCACTGGAGCTGGGCAAGAAGCAGGGCACCCCTCCCAACCACCCTCACAAACTGCCAGCCCACTTCCTGCCTGTGAAGTAGGCCTGGCACCATCTGTCTCCCAGAGCATCTGGAGGAGGCCCAGCACAGTGAAGGTATATCCACTTCCCACCTGCACCTACAATGGCCATCCCCAGCCCACTTAGCAATTCACCTGTCTCCCCACCAGTGAACCACAGACAGGCAGCCAGGATGTCCTGCTCCAAGGAGAAGGGGAAGCTGGTGGAGGCACCGGCTGTCCTTCCCTGCTGCAATGTGGCTCTCCAAGGGGGGCGTGCCAGAACAAGTGGAGCTCCCAAAGGTGGCTGCTGCTAGAGGGCAGCATGGGAGATGCTGCTATCACCCGCTGATAGAGGGGCTGCTGTTCTCTCTGCTTCTAGGAGATCCTACACACCCCACCCCATGGCCTTTCTGAGATGGGCCATGATTTCCTATGGGGTCCCAGAGAAGTTGCCAGTCATACATTTTCTCCTAGGTTTTGTGGCAAATCAGTCCTCTGAGATGGCCAACCATTCATCCTTTGCTTCATTCTCTGCTCAGATGTTCCTACCTCAAAGGGCTTGCTGGTCCCCCCTAGAAATGCTGCCCCCTCCCCATCACTCCAGCACCCCCTTTGCCTGCACTCACTACTACCTGACATGCTATCAGGAGTGTCTTTACCTGCTCATCCTGCCACCAGTACAGACTATGGGCTCCATGTGGGCAAGGCCCAGGTGGGTTTCCTTTGACACAGGAGTCAGAGGCCCTGAACCTGCCCATGTAACTGTCAAGTGAATCAGACCTGTTGAATGAAGTCAAAGATGAGTCCCTGAGCAGGCAGCCCTCTTCACCTGATCTGCACATCTGGCCCTTTCTTCTTACACGTAGAGGTCCCACCATCACAGCCCAAAGCTTGCTAGGTGGCTTGGCATATTGTACTAACCATTTGACCTACCTTCTTCAGAAATAAAAGACATGTAATTGCCTTTTCCTGTCCTGCTGCCCAACTAGGTCCCTTTCTTTGGATAGACCCAAAATGTTAGCAGAGTCCAGGTTAATGCCTCTAACCACTCTTTGATGTGCACAGTAGATACTTACGATATTCATAAAATATCAGTAATGTGTTTAGAACATATGGTACTAATGCTCCTGCTGGCCCAGATATTCCATGTATATCTCCATTCCATTTACTCAAACCCGACACCTGGCCTTGGAATGCTATTTTTTCTCCTCCCTGGAATTGTTGGGCCTGATCTGCCTGGCCAGCCCTGGGTATCCTTGTACTGCATCTCTCTTCTCTTCCAGCCGTGATCCCTCTGACAGACTCTGAACACAAGCTGCTGCCCCTGCACTTTGCGGTGGATCCAGGGAAGGACTGGGAGTGGGGGAAAGATGACAACGACAATGCCCGGCTGGCCCAGTAAGGCCCTCCCCTGTATCTTCTTTCCAGTGCCCCTCCATTTCCCTTCAACCAAGCCCCCAGGCCAGGGAGGGCTGGCAAGGCCTTGGACCACCTGGGGAGGAGCTGGACTGGGCCTGCTCCCCTGTCCACACATGGGACAGCTTATGGGATGGCCAGACATGGGCCAGCTCAGGCTTTTTACACATAGATTCTTTTTTCACCAGCCTGATCCTGTCGCTAGAAGCAAAGCTGAACCTTCTGCACAGCTACATGAATGTGACATGGATCCGGATCCCCTCCGAGACCCGGGTGAGCCTGGCATGGAGGGGACCCTGCCCAAGGGTGGGGCCATAGCTACTCAGCATCTGGCAGGCCAAGGTGCAGCCCCCCCAAAGGCTCATCCAGGCAGGACTCACTGCCCTCATGAACCCACCCCACCTCCACTCCAAGCCACACCCAAAGCTGGAAGCCCTCCATGCACCAGTCCCTACATTCTCTAGGTTCCCAGGGCTCTGACGTAAAAGCACCTCCAGTTGTACCTGGTGCAGATGTGTGCATGTGTGTAGGTATATGTACGCATGCAGGCATACATAAGCACCCCTATACATATATGTGTGCACACATAAGCATGCACACCAGCTCTGGGAGTTTTGTCCCCTTACTTTCTGCAAAAATAGAGGAATAAATACACCCACTCAGAAAACAAACTGTAGGCAAGTCACAACATAGGCTATCTCTGCAGAGATCAGAACACAATGTGCTGCTGTGAGCAGAATTAATTATAAACTGTATGTGGGTCCTGGGAAAGCCAGGGAACCGAAAGCACAATTCCACAGCATCTCCACCTCCTCCTCCTCTGAAGGCACAGATAAGGGTGGGTATAGCTGACTGGGCACCCCAAGAAGGAAGGAATTTTGGATTGGGAGATGGTGAGAGGCTCATTCCCCCTTGCTTCTGAGTGACCTGGCAGCAGGAAGCTCACCATCTTTTGGACCTCGTTGGGCCCGAAAGGGGGGGGGTGCTGAAATAAGATGGGTGAACAAGGGACCTTCCCCAAGACTCCTCCTCTATAGACCAGGAAAGCCCATTCAGTTATAAGCACCTGTGCCTCCCAGATCCAACTGCTGACATGAGGGTCCCTGCTTTTTTTTATCAGGACCCCACACCCCACACACTGGTCTTGAACATGGTCCCCTAATCACCACCTTCTCCTCTGGCTGGCTTACACTAACAATAGGTCTCTCCAAGGTGTTGGCAAAGATGGCCCCTCCCTACCCCAGGGTAGAGCTTACTGGCAATAGTAACATCTTTCCTGCTGAGCCCGGGTCCTATTTCAGAACCTTCTCAAGTTAACACTCTACCCTGCCAACCTGAGAGAACCCCTCAGCTAATTTTCATCGCTGAATTGAGAGGCTATTTGCACCAAGATCCAATTAATTGGGTTTTGAGGGCAAAGTTTCTATCCCTTGCCTGGAGTGAGCAGAGGAAAAAACATCTATGTGGGAGAGACACCTTGTATAGGAGGATTTCTTCACCTGAAGGCCTCCACTTCTGCATAGGGGCCAGCTGCCAACTGTGCAGCCTTACTAGGGCTAGAAGGCCAGTAGCTGGACACAGTAATTTTCTCTAAAATGGGCTAAGGCTCTAGGCTCAACATCAGTGGGTGTCTGCATCCTGCCCACACTCCTAGGTTCAGAGCAGGTTCCACCAGCAAAGTGAGTTCACCAAAGACACAGAGCGGACAAAGTAAGTCTTGGTTATGAGATGGCACAGGCCCATTTTTAAGCACATGACTAAGAGCAGATTAGAGGCCCCTAGAAGCCTTCCTCAAAGTCCAACTTTTTATTGAAGAAAACTAGTGTCAGCTTCTGTCTGCTTCTTTTCCTTAAGAATGGCCCTTCCAATCTTACAAAGATTACAGCAGCAATCGGGGTTGAGGCGGTGAAGCCCACGGGCTATAGACTATAGGCTCTAGAAAATAGAGCCTGTGTCTATCTTTGAAATACCCGTGTGGGGCACGGGTCTCTTGACTTCTCTGACTTCATTTCCTCCACCATCAATCTGTCCCCACAGGCCCCTCTAGCACAGCCCGAATCCCCCACGGCCTCAGCAGGAGAGGACGTGCAGTCCCTGGCCGATTCGCTGGACTCAGACCGGGATTCGGTGTGCAGCAACTCCAACAGCAATAACGGCAAGAACGGAAAGGACAAAGAAAAGGAGAAGCAGCGCAAGGAGAAGGACAAGACCCGTGTGGATTCCGTAGCCAACAAGCTAGGCAGCTTCAGCAAGACACTGGGCATCAAGCTGAAGAAAAACATGGGCGGCCTCGGAGGCCTGGTGCATGGGAAGATGGGTCGAGCCAACTCGGCCAATGGCAAGAACGGAGACGCGACGGAACGCAGCAAGGAAAAGAAGGCCAAGTCACGCAAGGGCAGCAAGGAAGAGTCGGGCACGTTGGCGGGCACGTCGCCATTGGAAAAGACCACGCCGTCGCCCACGGACAAGGCTGTGGGCGCGTCGCCAGCCGACAAAGGAGGCGGGCCGCGCGGCGACGGCTGGAAGTACAGCACGGACGTGAAGCTGAGTCTCAACATCCTGCGCGCCGCCATGCAGGGCGAGCGCAAGTTCATCTTCGCAGGCCTGCTGCTGACCAGCCACCGTCACCAGTTCCATGAGGAGATGATCGGCTACTATTTGACGAGCGCGCAGGAGCGCTTTAGCGCCGAGCAGGAGCAGCGGCGCCGCGACGCCGCCGCCAACACCGCCTCCACCGTCAAGCGGCTGCCGCGCAAACCCGAAGCCGAGGGCGGGCCGGGCCCCGAGTGCGCCTCGCCGGGCCCGCCAGTAGGAGCGCCTACCCAGCTGGTGCTCAAGTTCAAGGAGCGCCC